GGGACAGAATAGCTGCCAGGTCCAGAAGGTGGCCAGAGAGATGCGGGCGCTTGCCTCCATGGCAGAGGGCACAGATCCCTAAGGAAAGGGAGCAGTAGCTCCCCAGAGAGTTGGGGGGGCGGTGGCCTCTTCCCACAGGGAAGACCTCAGTGCACCAGCTCCATGCTCTGCAGAGGATTTGAGCCCTGGTCTCAGTGCGTGAGCGCTGTGCGCCACATCCAAGCGCTTCACTTCAGGGAACCGAGCTGGTCCTCCAGAGAGAGGCGGAGGAAAGCGCCGGCCCAGCCCCTGCCCGTGCCCAAGGAGCAGCCCCACCCTGCCCCCGGCGGCACACCAGTGACCATCTCTCTCCCCGCAGTGGTCTCGGCCCTGAACAAGGCCTGGTGTGTGAACTGCTTCTCCTGCTCCACCTGCCACACCAAGCTGACCCTCAAGTAAGTCTGTGTCCTGCTGTTCCGTGTCCCTGGCTGGGGCTCGCCCCCTTAGTGGTCCTAGAGTTTTTAAAACAGACGATTTGAGCCCTTGTTTCTTCTTCCTGCTGAGGTTTCTGAAGTAAAGGCTTGCCCTCTCATTGTCCCTGTTGTTCTGTTCCTTCTTTGTGCTGTCAAAGGGATAAGTTCGTTGAAATTGATCTAAAACCAGTCTGCAAGCACTGTTATGAGAAAATGCCAGAAGAATTTAAGAGGCGCCTGGCCAGACGGGAGAGAGAAGCAAAGGATAAGGACAAGCAGAAAAAGAAAAAGCCAGTCTGTCTGTAAACTTCTCTGTCCCTTCTGTCACCGTTTCCACTGCTCTCCTCTTCGGTCAGTCCTTGCGGAGTTTGTCCTTGCTGTCTTGTGCTTGTTTGTTTTCTTCTTGGCATGCTTTTGTGACTGGCACAGATGGCCGTCCAGTGCGCGGCCCTTGTGTGGCCTCTTTGTCCCATGGCTGCTGCTGGGCGCTGTCCTCTCCCTCCCTGATCAGACTCACCCCTGCTCAGGTCAGTGGGGCGGCAGCTTTTTCTGCCAGCTCTGTGGGTAGTTAAAAAGAACTTGGATCCAAGAACCACAACTCCAGGGCCCTGGTCTTTGGTTCATGGAGAATCCTGAATGTCTGACATCTCTTAAACTGCACATGTCCCAAGTCTTGGGGCCTTTGGCACCCTCGCGAAGTCTGGTCTCCCTGGAGAGACACCCATGGCCCAGGGTCCCACAGGACGCCAGGCTTCCTCTCCTGAGAGCTTCTAGGCTCTTCTGTCCTGGTTGGGTGGGGAGTGTTACGATTTTTGGTGTTCTAGTTCATTACCGGCGCATCTTGTCTTTGAGACAGGGTCTCGTTAGGCAGCTCAGGCTGGCCTTGAACTCACTTTGTTGCCCAGAATACCCTTGAAAGCGCAGTGATCCTCCTGCCCCAGCCTCCCAAGCGTTGGGATTACAGGCATGTGCCACTATGCCAGGCCCTGATTGTTTCACTTTGTACCTTGTGGTTGTCACGATGTCCAAGTTCTAAAATGCTTTCATTGTTTCTGTTTCTATATTTCCTCATGTAGAGACAGTAAGAAGCAAGTATGAATTTAAACCATTGGAATACCTGCTAAATAGTCTCTCTGTAGGCAGGAATAACTTACTTAAACTTCAAAAAGAGGGCAGCTTCTAGCACCTACAAGCAGGTGCAGGGGCCAGGGGTTCGATCCCTGGGCCTGCCACGCTGGCCCCATTCCCGGGGCGCACCTGTAATCCCAGCTCTTGGGAGGCTGTAAGTGGGCTGATCACAACGAGTCAGCTTTGTTAGGGAGAGCCTGAACACCCTGTAGACCCTTCCTCCAAATACATACATACATACATACATAAAAGATGGCAGCTTCTAGAGTTTTTGTTGTAAGAAGACTTTGGGGGGCTGGGGAGATGGCTCAATAGAATAAGTGCTTCCCTGGCAAACACAAGGGCCTGAGTTCAATCCCTGGTTCCAAAAAAAAAGACTTTGGGAGGAATGGCAAATTTAGTCTTGCTATTTAAATAATCAAACTACCCTAGGAAGCATTTGACTTCCCAGCTGTTCTGCAACATTCAAGGAACTTGGGGGCCTGGCCGTAGCTCAGTTCTTTAAGTGGCTGCTTCCACAAAGCTGTCAGCCTCAGGTTGCTGGAGTTCGATCCCCACAACACTCCAGCCAGCCCAACCACCCCTGAGGGCATTTGGAGC